CCCCCTGCTCGTGTCGCTCTCTGGCGCATGAGACTGTCCTTTGGCACCACCGCCTTGGTCACCCGTCTGTGCAGCGCCTTCGGGCCATGCACAAACGGGACCTTGTTGCTGGTCTTCCCAGGGTGCTCCCTCCCCTTCCCGACTCACCTGCTCCTCCCTGTCTTCCCTGTGTCGAGGGGCGGCAGCGCGCCGCTCCTCACTCCTCCTCCTTTCCCCCGACGACTGCTCCTTTGCAGACGCTCCACATGGACGTGTGGGGCCCAGCCCGCGTTCGTGGTCAGGGTCAGGAGAGGTACTTCCTGATTGTTGTTGACGACTTCTCGCGCTACACCACGGTCTTCCCCTTGCGCACCAAGGGTGACGTCCCTGATGTCTTGATCCCTTGGATCCGCAGATCTCGTCTCCAGCTTAGTGAGCGTTTCCGCTCCGACTTCCCTGTCCTGCGTCTGCACTCTGACAGAGGTGGAGAGTTTTCCTCTGGCCTCTTGGAGGCCTTCTGTCAGCAGGAGGGCATTGAGCAGTCGTTCACGCTTCCGGCCTCTCCACAGCAGAATGGGGTTGCTGAGCGCCGCATTGGCTTGGTCATGGAGGTCGCTCGTACCTCCTTGGTTCATGCGGCTGCCCCCCACTTTCTGTGGCCGTTTGCAGTCCGATACGCTGCGCATCAGCTCAACCTCTGGCCCCGTGTCTCCTTGCCCGAGACTTCTCCGACACTGCGTTGGACGGGAGAGGCTGGCGATGCGTCGCGTTTTCGGGTCTGGGGATCCCGAGCTTTTGTCCGCGACACGTCCGCGGACAAGCTCTCCCGTCGCGCTGTCCCCTGCGTCTTCCTTGGCTTTGTCCCGGACGCCCCTGGTTGGCAGTTCTACCACCCCACCTCGCGGCGTGTCCTGGCCTCTCAGGACGTCACTTTTGACGAGTCCGTCCCCTACTACCGCCTCTTCCCCTACCGCACTGCCCCGCTCCCCCCCCCGCCTCTCTTCCTCGCTCCAGGTGCTGAGGTACCAGACCCCCTCCCCCCTCAGGGTGCCGCTCCCTCAGGTGTGTCCCAGGTAGACCCGGGTGAGCCTGTCGAGGTAGCTGTTGACTCTCGTCCTGCGTCTAGGGGTGCTGAGCCTAGGGGTGCTGAGTCTGGGGGTGCTGAGCCTGGGGGTGTTGAGCCTGGAGGTGCGGAGCCTGGGGGTGTTGAGCCTGGAGGTGCGGACCCTGGAGGTGTGGAGCCTGGAGGTGCTGAGCCTGGGGGTGCGGAGTCTGGGGGTACTGAGACTGAGCGTGCTACACCTAGAGGAGCCCTCTCCTCCCAGCAGCTGCAGGAGAGGTACCTCGAGTACTGCCGCCTCCGAAGAGGTGCTGCTGGAGCTCGTCCCGGTACTTCCCCTCCTACCCAGGAGCTCCCCCCCATTCAGCAGATCCGAGAGTGGTACACGCGACGCTGCAGTCTTCGGAGTGGTGCTCCGGGTGCTGCGGACCCTGGGGGTGGCACTGCTGCTGGTGCTGAGGACCCGGGCTTTGGAGCTGCTGCTGGTGCTGAGGACCCGAGCGGTGGCGCTGCTGCTGGTGCTGAGGACCCGAGTGGTGGAGCTGCTGCTGGTGCTGAGGACCCGAGCGGTGGCGCTGCTGCTGGTGCTGAGGACCCGAGTGGTGGAGCTGCTGCTGGTGCTGAGGACCCGGGCGTTGGAGCTACTGCTGGAGCTGAGGACCCGGACGGTGGAGCTGCTGCTGGTGCTGCGGAGCCGAGCGGTGGCGCTGCTGCTGGTGCTGAGGACCCGGGCGGTGGAGCTACTGCTGGAGCTGAGGACCCGGGAGTTGGAGCTGCTGCTGGTACTGAGGACCCTGCCGCTGGTGTCTCTGCTGGTTCTGGAGACGCTGCGCGGCCGCGACCGTACTTCGTTCCGCTCCTTCAGCAGGTTCTTGGTCAGGCTCCTCCTCCTTGTCCTCCTCTCTCCGTAGAGTGTCCTCCGCCTGTCCAGTTGCAGTCACAGTTACCGCCTGCCTCGCCTCTTCCTCGTCCCTCTCCTTACACTGGTCCCACCGGAGGCCTTTCAGAGCGTCGTGAGCCTGCGTCTCGTCCTGCGTCGCCTGTTCGTACTGCTCGCACTGGTCGTCGTGTCCCACGTGAGCGTCCTCCTCCTGTCCCTGGCACTCACTACATGACTCTGCGTCCCTCCACTGCTCCTCAGCGTGTCCCTCTGCCGTCTCCTCCTGCGTCCTCTCTACCTACTCTTCCTGACCCGGAGTCTGACTCCCGTCGTGCTGCCAGTCCCACTGTCACGCGTCTTCTCGCCACAGTTGTCACTGACCCTACTTTTGAGTCCGCCGCTGCGTCTGCTCTGGTCGCTGAGTTGGTTGACTTTGCTGCTCGCTGTCGCCTAGACTACGCTGCTAGCCTTGTTGCTGAGTCTGAGTCTGAGTCTGCCTGTCCTCCGTCCGTCGGGGGTGAGTGTGCTCTTGGCACGGACGTCCTTGAGGACAGACAGGAGGAGTTCCAGTGCTTTGCTGCTGCTTTGCCCCACCTCGTGTCCATGCTAGTTGCCCCTGAGGGAGACCCGGATGCACCAGACATCCCGACCCCGCGCACTTACGCTGAGGCGATGGCGGGTCCCTACTCCTCTCAGTGGCAGACAGCCATGGACGCAGAGATGGCTTCCTGGAAGTCCACAGGCACCTACGTTGACGAGGTTCCCCCACCTGGGGCGAACATCGTCAGTGGCATGTGGATTTTCAGGGTGAAGCGGCCGCCGGGTTCTCCTCCTGTCTTCAAGGCGCGTTACGTTGCTCGAGGCTTCAGTCAGCGAGAGGGAGTAGACTTCTTTCAGACCTTCTCCCCCACCCCGAAGATGACTACTCTTCGGGTGCTGCTGCACATAGCCGCTCACCGCGACTACGAGCTTCACTCACTTGACTTCAGCACTGCTTTCTTGCAGGGCAGCCTGCACGAGGAGATCTGGCTGCGCCGCCCCCCTGGCTTCACTGGGTCGTTTCCTCCTGGTACCCAGTGGAGGCTTCAGCGGCCGGTCTACGGTCTCCGCCAGGCTCCACGTGAGTGACACGACACACTGAGGACTACACTTGCGGCTCTTGGGTTCGCGCCTTCTACTGCTGACCCGTCGCTGTTTCTGCGCACCGACACTTCGCTGCCGCCGTTCTACATCCTCGTGTACGTCGACAACTTGGTCTTTGCCACTGCTGACACTGCAGGACTCGCCTACGTGAAGTCGGAGCTGCAGAGGAGACACACGTGCACAGACCTGGGTGAGCTGACAAGCTATCTTGGCTTGCGGATCACCCGGGACAGAGCACGGCGCACCATCACCCTGACTCAGTCACACATGGTGCAGCAGGTTCTCCAGCGCTTCCGCTTCACGTACTCCTCGCCTCAGTCCACTCCTCTGCCTACCGGTCACTCGCTCTCAGCTCTGCCTTCAGATGAGTCCGTAGAGCCGAGTGGCCCGTATCCAGAGCTTGTGGGCTGCCTCATGTACCTGATGACCTGCACTCGACCTGACCTTGCATACCCTCTTAGCATCCTTGCACGCTATGTCGCTCCTGGCCGTCACAGAAAGGAGCACATGGATGCCGCTAAGAGGGTGTTGCGCTACTTGTGCAGTACGTCGGGCATGGGGCTAGTGCTTGGAGGGCGAGACCGAGTTGTGCTCACTGGACACTCAGACGCTTCTTGGGCGGACGACCAGGCTACTCAGCGGTCGTCTCAGGGTTACACCTTCAGCCTTGGCTCTGGCTCAGTTTCTTGGCGTTCCACACGCTCTTCGTCTGTTCTCAGCTCCAGTTGTGAGGCTGAGATCTACGCCACAGCCATGGCGGCCCAGGAGCTTCGCTGGCTGACCTACCTGCTGACCGACTTGGGAGAGAGGCCTCGTTCTCCTCCAGTGCTGTACGTCGACAACAAGGCTGCCATTGCCTTGTATGAGGAGCACAGACTGGAGCACAGAACGAAGCACATCGTCCTGCGGTACTTCCTGGCTAGAGAGCTACAGCAGCGTGGTCAGCTTTGTCTGCGTTACGTGGCCACTGAGGCCAACACTGCTGATGTGTTCACCAAGGCGCTCCAGCCTTGTGACCATCAGCGCTTTTGTACTCTTTTGGGCCTTGTGCCTACTGGACCTCACTTGCTCACTTCTTGACTTTGCTTGTACTGTGATCTCTATATATATATATACCTGCATGTTTACTCTTGCTAGGTTGTGATCACTGTATCTCTTGCTCTGTTATAAACCTGCATGTGAACTGGTCTTGTGACCGCTTGCTTGTGCTCGGAATTTGTGTGGAATCCTCGAGATCCACCCTGAGCCTGTTTTGCCTTGCTTTGCCCTGACTGGTCTTGTGACCCCTTGTTCTCCCCCACTTTGCCTATGGGGGTGTGTCAAACATATGTGCTGCATACTGTCTAGGCTGTAGTGGGGTAGCCCATATGGGGTACAACCCAAATTAGGGTTTACTACTTGTACTCCTGCATGCTGCTAGTTCACTCATTCCTGCCTGTTCATTCTGACAGTAAGTGGAGATAGAGGCACGATCGAAAGACGAAAGTCATTGTTCATGGATTTGGGGAAAGCTGCAAGCTAAAATATGGTACAGAGGGTCAGAAAGGAGACATCGTCAGACGCACTGACACAAGAGAACATGCCTCACAACATGCGTCACAACATGCATCACAACATGCGTCACAACATGCGTCACAACATGCGTCACAACATGCGTCACAACATGCGTCACAATGCCCCTCTCTCACCCTCACCTGGAACGACCTGTGCTCCACGTGTCCCCTCGTGAGACGCTCATACTCCATCAGAGCCTCCTCTTCCTTCCCCTGCCCCCACGCAGTCGCCTCATTCCCACCTACAACTCCCTTACCCCATGCACAGCCATACCTGGAACGACCTGTGCTCCACGTTCCCCCCTATGAGCCGTTCAGACTCTATCAGAGCCCCCCCCTCCTGCCCCTGCCCCCACGTGGTCGCCTCATTCCCACCTACAACTCCCTACCCTACACACACCCTCACTAGGAACGACCTATGCTCGACCCGCCCCCCTGTGAGCCGTTCATACTCCATCAGAGCCTCCTCCTCCCTCCCCTGCCCCCACGCAGTCGCCTCATTCCCGGCAAACGGCGCCCTCAGCCCCACCTTCTCCTCCCACAGCTGCTGCCTCCCCCCGGGATAGAACCCCACGGCCTTCTCAAATGCGCTGACTGTCAACCTGTTGGCTCTCAAAGCATACCACTCCTCTGTGTCAGAGGTCCACTGGAGATCCCCGATGATCCTAGGGAAGGGTTACAGGCACGTCGGCCTGGGGGGTTATGGGCGCACTCACCCGCTATATAAACAAGCCCTTTTATCCCAGTGGTTAGTGACTGGGATTCTGACATGGTATCAGAGCGAAGGTCTCGGGTTCGTTTCCCGGTGTGTGCACTTCGGGCATCCCAGTGCGGGGGGGTGTCAGAGGTCCACTGGAGATCCCCGATGATCCTAGGGAAGGGTTACAGGCACGTCGGCCTGGGGGGTTATGGGCGCACTCACCCGCTATATAAACAAGCCCTTTTATCCCAGTGGTTAGTGACTGGGATTCTGACACTCTGTGCGCTGCTCCTTGCCGCCCTTGCCCAGATTCACTGTATCCTCCCCTGCGCAGTTCTCAGCATTGCTGCAGTTCCCGTTGGTGGTATGATTAGCGCTGGTTGCTCAGGATGAAGCAGACATGGTCTCCCTAGGCGCGTTTCCCCTGTCTCGGACTCTCGGACTAATGATGGTGCTGATGGCGTTGCTTTTTGCCACGCTGACTTGGGTGGAGCTGGTGGCGATTTGAACGCCGGTGGTGGTATTTGGCTACGAATGATCGCCAGCTGCCGCTGCACATACTGCCAGCGTTCTGTGGTGCGATGACGATTGGATGGGGGATAAATGGAAAAGAAAAAGGGAAGAGAAAAGAGGGAAGGGAAGGGGCAGGCTGTGGTGACGGTATTTGGCTGCGAATGATCGCCAGCTGCCGCTGCACATATTGCCAGTGCTCTGCAAGACGACGAAAAGATGCGGAAGAGATTGTGATGGAAAGAAAGGAAGTGATTGTGAATGTAAATGGTCATTCGGCTGTAAATGGTCATGACGGGCAGCCGCTGCTGCACATACTGCCAGCCCTCAGCACTGCGGAGGAGAAAGACGAAGTAGCACCAAGTCCATGCTCGAAAGTCATTGGAGAAAAGAAGGAATTGAAGAAAAGAAGGAAATCAGGCATGCATATATTGAAGAGCCGCGTATGGGAAGTGGAGGAAGAAAGGGACGCATGCATCAGCAGCAATGTCACACGGGCGGCAATCAATGGTGAATCGCGAGCGCCAAAAAAATGGGAAGAAGGGATGCAAGGGGTCCTTACCTGCAGGGATGACGATGCTCTCTCGGCCTCTGATCACCACCACCCCTTCCACCCCTCCCATTCTTCCAGAGGCCTCCGTTCTTCCTTCTCCCCTCATTTTAGCCACCCTTCCGCTCTTGCCCATCTCAGCGTCTCTCCTGTCGTTGTCCCTCACCGCGAGCCCCTCTCCTGGCCTCCCTTCTCCCTGCATTCCTTCCCCCTGCCTCTCCTCCCCCTGTAGTTCCTCTTCCTGCCGTTCCTCTTCTGAAGCAGCCGCAGCGTCACGGCTCATTTCCCTTCGGAACGTCATCATACCCCCTACGAGTACTTCTGTTGTTTCAACAGGGACGGTGGCAGGCGTTGAGGGGAGAGACGGCACGGAGCTGCAGGGGGCGAAAAAGGCTCTGCGAAACAGCTCTGTGGTCACGGCACCACTGTTCTGTCAAGATAGCAAGCAGGAATCTTAGAACAGAAAAGAGGTTTGCACTAGCAGGCAGTTGAGTACATATAGGAAACCCTAATTCGGGCTATACTCGCTATAGAGTACCCCACTACAGGCTAGACAAATATCACATTCTGACACACCCCCATAGTCAAAGTGGGGTATAATCAGCACAGCAAGCAGTCATAGAGCAGGTTCACAAGTACAAGCAAAACTAGAGGCAGTCACAAGTGAGGAGGAGGACGGACTGTGAGAGGAGTGGAGATAGGAGGCGATGGATGAAGCCGCAGACACACGGGAAACAGGAGCGGCATGCACAGTGGCGACCGGTGGCAAGGGCCCCGAACTACAGGAGTAACTAGCTCCGCGCTAAGACGAGCGGCAGGAGCAACGGACCCACGGGCGACTGGCGCAGCAGGCTCGCTGGGCTACCGGTGGCAAAGGCCCCGGACTACTGGCAATGCTGACGTCACGATGGCTGCCTCCGCTCAACCTCCCCCAACTGTCCCACCCCCCCTTTCACACACCCCTTGCTGCACCCCTAGCTCCAATCCCGTGTCACCCCCCTAGCGCGACTCCCTCGGCTCCCACACACCCACCCCCCTCAGCGGCAGCTGCAGCAGTGGGAGAGAGAGGAGGAGGAGGAGCACGGGACGACGCACACCCGCCACCCCCATACCCGCCACCCCCTTACCCTCCTCCACGGCTGCACTCGCAGCAGAAAGACGACAAGGAAGTGGGGGGGGGGGGGGGGGAGGGGGGGGGGGAAAGAAGCCGCCCCGCAACTGCACGAGGGCAAGGGGCGGCACGCAGCTCCACAAAGCAGCGCGCGCGGGTCACCTTCGTCATCAGCGTGCGGTTCGTCCGCTCAGCTACGCCCTGCTGCTGGTGCGCGTAGGGGAGAGAAATATGGTGCTCGATCCCCTTTTGCGCCAGGTAATCCTGCATCTGCTTGCTCCTAAATTCTGCCGCGCCGTCAGATTGCCAGATCTTGAGCTTCTCCCCAGACTGCCATTGCGCATGTGCCAGCCAAAGGCAGAACACCTCGTAGGCTCTGTCGCGGGACTCTACATTCGCGACCCACACGTAACGTGTTCCAGCGTCGATGAAGGTAAGAGTGTACATTTAGTCATCGACTCTGCAGTGCCCCACGTTCAGGAAGTCGCTGTACACCTTGTGCAGCTTGGGGTAGCGGTTCGTCCCTGGCTCGAGCAGCGGGAACGGCTGGTGGCTCAACGCAACTTCGGGGCAGACGGTGCAGTTGCGCGGGTGTGTTGCGCCTCTTACTTTGGTGTCGTCAAGGTGGAGCAATGCTCCTGGGGCAAAGACTCCGGCGTCGATGCAGTTCTTCAGCGTCGCGCGTGAAGGGTGTCCGAGGCGCTGGTGCTATAGTGCGTCGTCAGTGCAGAAACCGGAGGTGCGCATATAGCGCGCGCGTGCTTCTTCGGGGTCTTCATCAGGTGCTGAAGCAGGTTCTCCTGCTGCTGCTTCTACTTCCTCTTCGTCGTTGGTGGTGGTCAACATCAGCGCCCAAAATTCTCTGTCGCGAATCTCAGAGAGGGGGATATTAGTCCCAGGGATAGTCCCGGGGACGAAGGTGGGCTCGCGCGGTTTGGGAGCGGGTCCGTAGACGGTGCGGCGCAGGGTTGATGGCTCATTTCCCTAGTGGATGGTGTCCCAGGGGTCGTGATGTGGCGGGTTGTCAGGAGGAGGTAATGCGAGTGGAGCGTGGCGCGGGGGACGACCGAGGGGAACAACTGTAGGTGATGTTTCAGTTTCCTCTGCTTCTTCTTCTCCCCCCTTTTGTTCTTCGCGGGAAGTCCCCCAGCCGCTATTGTCGGCGCCAGATGCGGCGCCCCATCCGCCGCTTGCGTTGGCCCAGGTTCCGCCGTTGTCTCCCCATCCGCCGGTATCAATCGTTCCCCATCCGCCAGCGCTCCCCCACCCCCTTTCATTGGAGGCACTTTCTTCTTCTGCAGCACCCCATGCGCCGCATGCGAGAGTCCCGCGCGCTTCTGCCAGGATTTGCTGGCGAAGCTCCTCAGCTTCACGGCACGCCAGTTCTTCCTCTTCTTGTATGGTAAGTTTCGTTGTCGGGTCGCGCCAGTGGGGGTAGACCTTCAGGAACTCGGTGAGAGTGTAAGGCCGTGCGACGCCATGTGCATTGAAGGTTCTCCGCATCCGTCCGCGCAGAATACCTTCGAGCCGTTGAGTTCGTGGTCCGGCGTGAGGGCTGTGGTCGGAGCCGAATACACGCTGAATGGTGACCTCAAGCTCCAGCTGGGACATTCCTTCCTCGGGCAGCGCGTGCCGTTCAGCTTCAGCGATGGCGGCAAGCCCGCGGTCGGCGATTGCTCTGGTTGACGCCGTTGGCGTGTGACAGTCCCTGAAGATGCCGTCTGGGCCAGGGTCATGCAGCGCCGTTTCTCGTGGGTGGGGGTGATGCGGCACCCACGGTCTGCCGTCAGGGTGCTTCCAATCCCTGCGGTGGATGTGCTCGAAGCGCAGTGGCACGAGATCGATTAACTCGTGCGAGTCGCCGCTGCAGTCGGGAATGTCGAAATCCAAGACATACACTCCATCTTCGGAGTGCGCTCGTCCGATCTGCCTGCGGGGGAGGGTCCTTGATTCGTAGTGCAGCAGAATGTCGCGCGTCGCGCGATCCGTGCTGAGGTCGACGCCGCAGTCCATGAGCTGTGCGGCGGAAAGCAGGTTGAAGCGCAGGTTCTGGACGATCAGCACATCGTTGAGCGTGATGTGCGTGCGGCTTCCGCGTGCCTTGAGCACGACGATGCCTTGCGCGCTTGCGCGCAGGCGAGTGTTGTTAGCCACGGTGACGTAGGTGACTGTGGGGGTGGCGACGGCGTTGGATATGTAACGCTCGGAGCCCACCATATGCTGGCCGCAGCAGCTGTCCAGGTACCAGGTGTTGTAGCGCTTGTTGTCGTCACGTGCGAGCAGCGCCAGTCGTGGCGTGACGATGTGCGGAGTGTCGAACTTCAGAAATTGCTTGCGCAAGAGCCAATCAAGTGGCGCCACCCGCATATCAGGTACGTGCGGGGGACTTTCGAGCAGCGGGACTGGAAGATTCCAGTCCTGGTCGTCGTCGTCGGTGAAGTCGTGGCGCGGACTGAACGGATTGTTGTTGTTGAATGCGCCAATGGGGTGCGGTGCTGGCTCAGGTGAAGGTGAGCGCACGCGGCGACGACGCGACTCGCCCGTCATGGCCATGTTGCTCATGACGTTGCGTACTGGGGCAGTCGATGACGGCTGCTGCTGCTGATGCTGAACCGCTGGGTTCAGGTTGCGCGCGGGTGGGGGTTGATACCCCTGGGCTGGACGCACGTCGCCTCGTGCGTCTTGTCGGCCGGACCAGTTGCTCGGATTGGTCTGGCGAGGGCGAGATCAGGATCTGCATCGATCCGCCAGATGCCCAAAGTTTCTGCAGATTTTGCAGTAGAGGCGCCGCGGTCTTCGCTCTTCGTTGTTGTCGCGTAAAAGGCGAGCCGTTCTCTTTCTCGTCGCGGCGCTGGTCGCTGCTGATCCATATCCCTTTGTTCGACGAGAAGGGCGGCGCAAAGGGCGGCCTCCGAGATGACCCCCTGCTGTCGGAGAAGCGCCTTGCAGGGCCGCCACTCTGGGCCGAGCCCTTGAAGCACGATGTTGACAAAGATTTCCTCCGAGATCGAGCTTCCCAACTTCGCGATTTGATCGCGAAGGCTTCGACAGCGATTGATGTAGCTGTTGGCCTTCTCCCTTGGGGCCATTTTGGTTTCCAACAGCTGCTGGAGCAGCAGGCTCGAAGAGACAGAGTCCTTCAGCTGATACACGCCATTCAGGTGGCGCCAGGCGTCGAGGGCTGGAGCAGATGATGTCTTGTATGAGCGAATGCTCAACTGCTCCGCCGGCGACATGTTCCGCAGGAGCACCCCGTACGCCATCAGAGATTCGTTGTAATATCTCGTCTTGGCATCATTGGTGTCCTCAGCAGGCTCCGCGTAACTCCCGTCGAAATAATGGAAGATTTGGGCGTTCTGCAGCAGGAGCTCTAGTTCGAAGCTCCAGGTATAGAAGTCTCTGCCGTCAAAACAGGTACTTGTCTTTATTTTTGATATGCTGAGAAACCTTGATTGCGCGGAGAGAATTGCCTCTTCACTGGGACGGGGAGCCTTGGGGGTTGAACCATTTGTGTCGAGGGAGAAGGTGTGCGGGGCGGCGTTCTGGCCAGTTGGGGCCGGTTGGGATGGTTGCGAGGATGTTCCCGCATCGCCGTTCCGCAATGTTTGGAGCCCTTGCTCCAAGCGGGTGAGCCGCTGAAGAAGTTGTGCGAGGACTTCGGTGCCGATCGTCGTCGTTTCCTCGCTTGTCGAAGTCGGGTTGGTTTGCGCTTCAGCCGTCAGATTAGTCTGACCACCAGATCCTCCGGCCATTCTCACACGCGAGCGTGTGCCGGACGCCACTTTCCGAATGTCGTAATTTTCGGGAGTGGTAGTGCGAAGGATTCCCGAGCCGCTCTCATACCATGCTACGATCAGAAATTGATTGCTGCCAGGATCCACTCGAGAAGGTTCGCACGCAGAGAGATGGTGTTGGTGGGCCCTTGACCTCAATAGCAGAGTGAATGTAAAATGCTTTGAGATGGATTAAAACATGCAAATACAGCAAATATAAATATGAGTACAGGGAAGACGAAACGACCTAGCTAGCCATGTACTCTAAGGGGTACATTCCCTTATTCAAATTCATTCCCAACCGTGCGGCGCGTACAGTTACGAAACTGTTCCCGCCGAAACCATCCTGCCTGCAGCTGCCCGATGCCGTCTGATCTGACGGTCCAGATGCACCCTAACCGTCTGACGCTTCGAGTC